TGATGGTCCAGCTAGTCCTCTATCTCCAGTCCCCCATTTCCCCTACATTTCTTGCAGTGGTCCCTCCAGCCCAAGCTGTGACCTGAGCTGCCCTGCATGGCCCTGCCGCTAGCAGCCCATATTATCTAAGCCTCTGTCCCTACTCAAGTTGAAAAATTCATGATGTGTTCTGGAAAAAATGATTTCTATGTCATCTTTACAGGAAAAGTGTTGATTTACAGGCATGTCAGTTATAGTAAATCAAGACCTGACTGGTTGCTAATATAGGCATAGCTGAATTATAAAAACTCAGTGATGTTTGCCTGAAGCCCCTCACACTTTCACATGAAGATCTAGCCCAACTATGGTGATTAACCAGATTAACCCTGCTATTTGTCATTGAAGAGTGTGAGTGGTTTTCTGGACTTTGGTCTGAATACTCATAGAAATTCATCTCTGCGAAGGACGCCAGTTAAATTCATCTCACAGTGAAAAATAAATGCTCGTATGGGGAAGAACTGACAAGACAAGACTTCTGCACAAAAATATTTGTATTACAGTGCATTGAATGTGAGTCACTAAATGTCATGGTATTGTAAAAAAAGACAAGTATTGTAATTAAGATATAAAAATAGGACTATAGCCTCTGATATAATCATCAGCAGCAAAGCTTCAGCTAAAATATTGTATAAAATTACCAGTACTTCAATTTTAGGAGGACATGCATCAAATCAAAGAGTTGAGAGAAAAATAAAAACAATGTGCTGAAAATAGAAACGTATCTAGAAACTACATGCAATATACAATCATAGTAAGGATTGTGGAGTTTTTCATTTCAATATTAGCAGATTAAGGTGAGTTTAAGGTATCACTTGCTTAACCTGACATCCTGGACTGTGTTTCACTCAGCTAATGAACAGAAGAACTTCCCAGTATGAATCTTCACTGTGACTTATATTTGTTATGATTATCCAACTGGTGATAAAAATACCTTTTTCCTTCCTTCCTTCCTTCCTTCCTTCCTTCCTTCCTTCCTTCCTTCCTTCCTTCCTTCNCCTTCCTTCCTTCCTTCCTTCCTTCCTTCCTTCCTTCCTTCCTTCCTTCCTTCCTTCCTCTCTCCCTCCCTTTCTTTTCTTCTTTTCTTTCTTTTCTTTTCTTCTCTTTTCTTGTGAAGATTGGTCCCAAAGGGCCATTCATGCTTCTTTCAGATATTAACTGTACAGTCTATCTGTTTTGGTCTTCTTCTACTAAAAATCTGCAAAATGAAACTACACTGCTAGGAAATATAGAAGAGCATAACGAAGTAGAAAAGGATTTTTTTTCAGTGAGATTAAATGACAACCAACTATATTTCTTCAGGTTAAGATAAGTTGCTTAACTTTTCAAAGTTTACCCTCTTTTGGAAGAATATACAAATAAAACTTAAATTAAAATTATTGGCAAGATGTAGGTAAGAATTCAAGCTGTGTGCATGTTTCTACACTTCATAATAAAAAGAAAAAATTTTGGTTCTGAAAGTACCCTTGAGATGTAAGACTCCATGCTAGAAAAGACAGCTGATACTTAAAAGGCTAAATATATAAATGTCTGGGTTTAGGGATTTTAGAAAGAAATGTATATATGGTCTGGCTAACAAGCAAGAGGTGGGACCCAGCATTCTGAAGGGTTAAAGTGAACTTTAGTCTTCCACTGATCACCCTCTGGTACTGTGTCTTCATAAATTTCCTCCGTTTATGGAGTGTTTTTGATGGCAGGCAATTCTTTGTTGAAAGTTAAGTGCTCTTTTATATGAATAAATAAAGAAGGCTTTGGTTTGAATGAATACATTATTTTGACAAATGTTTATTGGAAAGCCAATTATGGCTTCATAAATCAGTGCTATCTCTGGTACATCAGGTGAGCTCACCAACGCCATCAAATGGCACATGGAATATTAGTAGAATAATTAAAACAATTCTGTCCAATGTTGTCCCTCTTACCCAGGTCTGACAGTAGTCAAAACAGGAAGAAAATGTCTATTATTTTTATTTAACTTATTAAAATACTTCTTGTAAGATGTAATGGACATACTTAACAAAAAAAAAAAAAAAAACATTTGTTTTCAATTTGCAGTTAGATTAAAATGACAAGGTCAAGCACAATGCATGAGCTGAGTGGCAGCTGAATTTTAAGAGTAGCCCAGGAACAAAAAGGACATGTATAAAAACTATTGTTTGAACTTTACACCTGGGTGAAGTGGGAGTCTGTTGGTTTTGTTTGATGTGGCCATCGGTGATGTGAAATGTGTCTGCAGTCAATGCATGAGCTTCCTTGCATGCTCCCTGCCACTGTGATTCTAGCTTAAAGGAGCAAATAAATGAGAAGCCATTTCCACAGCTATGAAAAGGAAGAGATTCTTGAACTCGAGGTCAAGAAGAAAGGGAAGATATTAAAGCTAAAGAATAAATAAATAAATAAAAGCCTGCAGGAGGGCAAGCTAGCATTTTTAATGGGAATTTACTTCTCTTGAAGACACTCTGATGACAGCAAAATGGAGGAGTTCATTGTATCAAGAGCAGGATACTGAAGATATGACTAAATCTGCAGGACTTCCCAAAGGATGAGTTCCCAGTTTCAGGATATGGCTAAATCTATATTTACCAGGACATACAAATAGGGATTGAAACTTACATATTCAAGTTTTGTATGTATTTGCATTAGCTTGATATAATTACTCACAGGGATTCCTCTCCTACCCACTTATGTATAATATCTATATTTGCAGAGACACAGAAAAGGAAACAACAAGATGTAAGGAGAATACAAAAGGAAAATCACCAAATGCAACACAACAGATAATTTTTCTCCCATAATAGACAAAGGAGCATTAGAGTTAGCTAGAGAAACAGCAATAAAATACTTTTGGTTGGAATTTGTCACTTCTTTGAAATGAGAAGAAAAAAACAATCTCAAAAACAAATTTGTTTTCTTTCACCAGAAACTAACCTTCCTCCAGAGCAGGCTCCAGATTCCTGGCATCTGGCAGGCAGGCAGTCCCGCTGGAGGCCCCAGGGCTGAAACTCCGACTCGCTGCCTTCTCAGAAGCTCACATTTCCCCAGAGATCTGATTTTCAGATAATGTAAAAAGACTGAGGTCTTCTTCCAAAAAAAAAGAATTAGACCAAATTTTATAATTTTCTACAAGACATAAATAATATTCTTCCTTCTCCAGCCTACCTAGTCCTAGTACCTTCTCAGGATTTCAGTTGAATGAACTGTAAAAATATGTAAAATAATTAAGTGATCTTAGCCTTCATAGTTCAGGATCCTTTGTTTCTTTCRTTCTTGCTGTGAGAGGAAAAGTAAGAGTAAATTCAACCTAAAGTCAGGCAGGCATTTTTCTGCCAGAGGCCCCATGACCAGCAATAAATACTCTGTAGCTAAAGGAAGCAGAGCTTGGACCATCACAGTGAATGGAGCAGGATGCTCTTTCTCCTTTAAAAATACCAACACTGCCTTTGCAGGGCAAACAGCATAATTCCTTTTTCAGGGTAGCTAGATATAAGGGTGTTGTTTTATATACTCATTTTAGCACAACTATTGCCTCAGTCTCAGGGACTGTGCTATATTATATCTCCATTTCAGGTACCACATCCTTGCTACTCATGAGTGGAAATGAAGAACTTTCCTGCCATCCTAGTGCATTATTTACTATCATGCTTTTCTGTGCAAGTCCTAAGAARGGCAGAGCGTTCAGTCCAAACTATGCTCTAGAAATTTATTTTCTTGGAAGGGGTTATGGAGATGTATCTGGTTGGCCTAGCAAAGAGAACTGTGGAAACAATTTGTGTGATAAAGTAAGAGGAAAGAAACTTCACTGAGCTGCGATGAGCCTGGAAGAAAACAAATAATATGTCATCTGCATCCATGGACTTGACACAGGGCACRGGAAGCTGCTCTGCTCCACTCTATCAACCCAAGCATCAACCCTKCCCCCAGAGTTTCATGGATGGCTTCTGTCAATCAGTAATGCTAACACATTTGGTCCTGGCAAAGTTTATCAGTTTGGCTTATCTCTCATCTCTTTTGTGAAGCTCAGTTTCCTCCCTTTGCCCGTGGCTATTCTAAATGTACTTGTGAGATACTGGAAGGTGAAAGGTGGTGTGGGGGAAGAAGCCTATTTTTTATAACTCAGATTTAAAATCTAGCAGCTCTGAAATCCCTCCTCTAAGCTTTAATTTCTGAAAAATCTGTGGTTATGAATATTATTTCCTTGTGTTGCTGATTGAGCATTTGAAAAATGGACTGAAAAGTTCTGCATTCTGCCAGAAAAATCTTGCTGGACAGGCTCGCTATTCCATCGTTTCCCAGCCCTATTCAGTCCTGGCCCTGCTAAAGCAACTTATCAGAACATTTGCTTCTCTTTTCTCTAGGGACAGCGGTAAAAAAAAGCTATGGCACAACATGCCTTGCATATCTATCTGTTTTAGTGGAAATCTACATTTAAACTATTACATCTTAAAGCTCAAAGGAGCAGGAAGCTTCCAAGGAGACTGTTCTTCCTTCATATGCAAGACGCATGCTGCTACCAATAAATCACTCAGATTGCTATTGCAGTCTGGAACAACAAGGTGGCATCATCCCTAAACGCAAGAAGGTGTGTGAAAGGCTAGCACAACGAAAACGGTAAAGGGGTCATTAAGGCACCTAGAAGATAAAGTGATTGCAATACCTCCCCAAACTTCCTTGTTGCAAGGTGGTGATTGTGCCATAAATCAAAGCTGTCGTTCTTCAGGGGATATTTAAGGAGGCAGGAAGGATTGTAGCTACAGTCAGCTAAAGAAGAACTGTAGCTCTTGCACTAATGGGGTGAAGCAGAGATAGCAGATCACTGCCACTGCTTATTTCATACGCACTCCTCCTTCCTTCCAGCAGCAGAGAAAAACAACCTTTGTTTTGAACAAACTCAACATGATTGAATAAATATCATCATCAAACTCAACATGAATAAATATCAATATGATATTTATTTAAATATCATATGCTATTAATGCTAGCTTGCTTTTGCTTCACTTTCAGCTTCTCCTATGTTTTATTTGCATTGCTAAAAACTGGAACAGTGAATTGGGTTGGAAGGATAGCTCTCATGGCTCATTTTTCAAAAATAGCTTTGGCTAACCTACAAATAAATTGTCATATAGCAAAGGCTTTATGCAACATTACAGAAGACAATATTTATTCAGAAACAGTAGCTCTGATCCATTTACTTACTATTAAAAATTGAAACTATTCAGAGAAACATCAGAGAAACAGACACTCTGGGAAATATTTACTTAATATCTACATAAATATCTACATAAAAATCTATACTGCTCATTGCATAATGAAATTTTGAAATCTACCTACTTCCATTCTATCTTTCCCTCCTGACTCTCCATCAGTTTCATCTGAACATGTCTGTTGTCTGCAATACACAGTGGGATGAAAATGCCTATAATAAACAAGTAGAAAAATAATGCCTAAGACTAGACTGACAACAGTTAAGATCCCCACAATTGTAAAATGTATTTCCTTGGTAAAGGAAGGTTTCCAAAACCAATATATAAACAAAACGCCTAAAATTAGAAGGGTATGAGTAGCATAATAAATAGAAATGTTMATTTTTGTTTTTGTTCCCTTTATGTTAAAGAAGGTAAAAACTAGAATGACTCCAACAACAATTCTGTACAGATATTCCATCACCTTAGATTTGCAAAATGTTGTGTGTTGTTTCCAAGTCCACAAAAAGGCACAGCTCCAAAGAAGTATCAACAGAAATACAGAACTTCTGACACTCAGAAGAGTAATCAGTGAAATACTGAGTATCCAAGACGTGATTGTAAGCAGTTTATAGAAGAGATATACCAGCTTGGATAGCACGTGAAATTCATCTTTATCAGGCAGAGATTTTCGTAATGATATCTGATAATCAACCGTTGAATAGGAGATGCCACAAAAAGACAGGAAAATGGCAGCATCTAAACAAAACATAAGCATAAATGTTAGTCCTAAGAAAAATATACTTTATATTAAAACTTCTGAATAGTTTGGACAACTTTCTGTTTTCTTTAAACTTCTTTTACACTGTCTTTATATTTCTTTTCTGTTGTTGGACAAGTAATCTTGGCTCACATGCCTAAATCTAGGCATCTAGTGCCATTTGGGATGCCTACAGGATCCTGCCTGGCCTCCAACCACTTGGTCTTGCCTGTGTTACGTTATATTTGCCAGCTCCATACAGAGCAGACTTAGAAATAAATAAATACTTGATTCAGCAGTTGATATTGAGGCCAGGTTGTCTATAATGTAGACATCTGTAAGAGGTTCCCTTTGCATGGTCATATTTAAGGAACATCTGACTGTTTTATCCCTGTATGTGTTAACTCCATTGCTATGAATAGACCGTAGACAACAGTGCAAATCTTATTTGATGTAAGCCAACACACACAAAACAGCCTGCTCTGAAATGGATGCATTAATCTTATTCAACAACTTCTTTTCAAATRAGGTATCATGTTTATAGTAAATATTATGACTTGTTACAGTGAAGTCTTAGCAAAACAGACCATCTAGTAGACACAAATTAMAACTAAATGCAGAGTAGTCAAACTGTGGAGTGTGTGATTAAAATATTATCCAACARCATGAATTATCTATTAAAATACGATACTAAGTTTCCAAATTAAGGAGAAAGAAGGACTCACATTGACAGAAGCTGGTTTTGTCATGTTCCATGAGGATGTAAATCTGGACAAGGAGTTGAGGACTGCTCTCGAGAAAAGTCTTGAATACCTTGAGCATGCTAATATCAGTCATTATATCAATGGCTTGTTTATGAATGAAATTGGGATGCTCTCTTTCTGATACATCGCCATTACTGTTTTGTTTAAATGCAGCCTGGTAGCTGTATTTCAAAGCAAACCAATACCTATAAGAAAGGAAACTTGATTAGATAGTGGTTTTGAGAAGTAAAACAACTTCAGAAAATGGAAGGGACTAATGAAATTAATAATAGAACAGTCCCTTAACAGAACAGAATGAGGCATGAATAAGATTACAACCTTTATTTTGTTAACTTCTTATTTATTTAAAAGTACTACATAGCAGTGTAAAAGTRTGTTACTAAACATACAAAAGGACCACAAGCAGCGGTGAGGAAGATGAAATCATCAATATGAACTCTCAGGAAAAGATTCAAATGCTAATAACACCCATATCAACCCACCACCACCATCACCACAAGAATGCAGCCACTGGCCCTTGGTCCCAAGGGAACAGAGGAATGGTGAGCACTCCTTCAGAAAAAAGGGTGGAAGCTAAGAAATATGTGTATAATAATGTGTGTTAACTGTATCATTACTATTATCAACACTTTTTCCGCACGGAAGGATTCTTTCTTTGTCTGTATCAGATCTGGACTAATAATAATTCTTATATTAGGCTATTAAGATTTCAATTATATTACCAATAAATTCTTGACTCTATATGTAAGGTATATATGCCCATAAATAAGATTTTGAGCTTAACAGTCTTCAGTCATCATCTTCAAACTCTGATTTGTTCTGTTCCCAGAACTTGTGAACTTCTAATATCCTTCTCCAGTGAACCTACTTTGACTATGTAAAGCAGGAAAGGACAGCAAAAGCAGTCCATCCTTCTCCAGAAAATTCATTATTTTGCTCACAATTCTGGTATTATAAATATTGCTGAATGACTTTCCCCTCATCAGAAGAATTCAGTCATTCGGGCTATGAGGATGGTATTGTTCCTTCGGAGCTAGTTTTAGGAGAAAGCAAGGAGAGCTCCACAGAACCTCACTTGGTTATGTGAGGCTGTCTGCAAGTCTGCCAGCCTGCAGGAAGGGCAAGGCCCCATGCCACTCTCTGCATTTAAGGTGATTTCAAGGTGCATGCTGAAATGTCAGAGTTTCCTAGTTCCCCAGTTGTCCACAGGATGAATAAAACCCAGATGCTTGCATTTCCTTTACACARAAACAAGAGGGCAGGATATCACGAGACACCCAGACTTCATCCCACTGCTCATTCATGGCTTTGGAGCACAGTGCTCTGCAGCTTGCAAAGGACACTCAGAAGTATCTCCTCGAGTGTTAAAAGTTTAACCTCCGCTGTCTTTAAAGAGCAAATTCTTTGACCACATAGGACATGGTATAAAGGGTCCCCCAGTAGCCACAAGTGAAGATTTGCAGATTTTTTGCTAGGGGAATATTAGAGGAATCATTGCTTATTCCCTAGTATAATATCCAAGTGTGCTTCATACAGGGGTTAACACCCCAGAGCTTGAAACATGGAAGCATCAGCTGTAGGTGTGGAACAGCACTGMCACCCTGCAGGGGCCTAAGGGATCCTTTGTCCTTCTCTTATGGAAGTTCAGAGACCGCAGCCCTGCCTTTTAGGCCGTACTTTGATTCTGTGAGTTGGCTGTAGCTTCAACATTTATTCCCAAAGGGTACTGTTTTCTTGGTTTATGTTGTTCTGTATTTCTCTTACTGTTTTCTGAGTAATCTCCCGTAAGTAAAGAACTAAGCTGTTTGGCAAATGATCTATAGCTTTTTCAGTTTAGAAAATAATTAGGAGTCTAAAACATATGGTTCTTGCATCCAAGGTGTAAACATCTGGAGAATTTGCAGTGTTTTCAAGAAAAAAAAAATAGAGTAGACCAATCTGTTACTTCTCCATACATTCATTCAACAAAGTCTGTGTTTGTTMAAGCAGCAAGAAGTGGAAACCAGCTGTACAAATTTCAAGCTCCAGAGCTTACAGCTGAGAAGGCAGATGATGAGCAAGACAAACACCAGACATGGTGTAAAAGGAATATTTCAGTTGGATGCACACTTGATATCATCTGTCAGGTTTCAAAGCATATTGCTTCTAAACCTAGTATGTTATGCTGTTAATAATGTTATCAGATGGTACGTCAGTATTTTTCATTACTTGTAGCTATTTCAGTTAATCCACTTCTGCCTTGAATACTGTATAAAATACATTTTTTCTAGAAAAAAAATGAATATTTCAGTTTCTCCTTGACAAAATCTCCATTACATGATGATAGGTAAGTGAGGTGGCATTCCCTGAGCTGCACAGACTGTGTCACTTAGRCTATAGCTGTCACTTAGCAGACTATAGCTCCCCATGACAGATCTTTCCTCTTTAAGGCACCTTGAGCATGCACTACCTTTCTAATCAGCCCATTGGCATGCAATATTAGGACATTTTAAGWAGGGTCTATAATAGATTTTTAGGCTTAGCTTGGACAACTGCAATCACCTTCAAGAGGAAAGTTTACTAAAGCACAGATCAGACCCAATTTTTCTCATTTATCATGCCCCATGGCTCAGCTGAACACTGTGCCTGCTCTGAAACTATTATAATCATAGTATAGCAATRATATATGCCTTATTGTAACAGTTTACTCTTTCCATCTCATAAATGGAAAAAACATTCTTTGAAAAAGCAATTGGAATTAAAAAATGCATTCATTAAAATATTTTATTAGTTATGTATTTTAGGTAAATGTAGCCTTAAACCTTAAACTGAAGGTGCAGTGGGTAATCCAGACAAATACAGGGTTGCCATATGCTTTATGTTAATTCTCTTTAGAGCATGATCTTAACTATTAGGGTACTTGTATTAGAAAGGAGATGGGGCTTCCAAGCAGTATCTGTGAGCACTTCACAGGTGGAAGAGGAAACACAGAGCAAAGGTCAGCACGCTGCTAGCAGTCTGCTCTCACAGCCCGTAGTGGGCACCGGCTGTGTTAATRGGAATGCACAAGACGAAATGAAGATACAAGTATTTTTGCTGTTACACCATTGTTCATTATCGTATATGTAATGACTTTGTTGAGGAATGTCTCTGTCAGTCACTGCCATAGTTTCCAAAGGAAAGGAATTACAGACCAGAAATTTGTTTGCGGGTAGGTATGCCCTACTTTAAAGAACACAAAATATGCTTAAAAGTAGGAAACCCTTCTCATTCCACTCAGAGGACAGTTACACCACCACATAGTGTATTAAGTTTAGCCCAGAAGCGGGGTTGATTATGTAGCTCTGAACCCCAAAAATGCTGTGCTTAGACAGCCTCTGGTGCCTGAACCAGCTCATTTAAACATAACTCAGGGGACTCTCTGTCCTTGAGAACTTCCTACAGCTCCATCAAGGCTGCTCCTGTCCTATAAAAGTGGGGAGACTTTGATTGTCTCATTGTGTCTCCAGAGTCACACATCACAGCTACTTGGTGTAGTTGTTTCATGGCTCCCCAACTTCACATTTCAGAACTGTGCACCGTTAACTCCCCATCCATCACTGATTGATATCTTCAATACCTTCCTAATATTTTCTCCTGTGGAGCTCCCTGGTATATGCATAAATCACTAGAGGTCAGCACTTAGTGGCTAGACCCTAGTTCTCTTTATGGTGAGCAGAGAAGACCAGGTCCTGCCACAACTGGCCTTCTGGAACGGTTCGTCCCCGTGATCATGATGACTCCTCATCAGGTGACTCCTGACAAAGTTTGCCTTTATCCATAGATGATAGAGAAAGCTGGGAGAGTCATTACCTAAATCAGCTGAATAAGTTCAATGACTAAGAGAGAGGATGGGAGGGAAGTGCACACCTCAACAAAAATAAATAAATTAAAAATTAAAAATTAAAAAATTAAAATTAAACAAGTAAAAAATTAAAAAAAAAAAAAAATTGCAAAGCACCCAAGAAAACAAATATGAGAAATATAATAGCCAATCCCAAATCACAGATATCCTTTTGCTGTTATCAACTTATACTTTATAGTACGCATTATCTACTGATGGATTTTGAGGAGTGGCTCTAAGAACTTTGTAACTTTTGTTCATCAACTGGAGCCTTTTGCTCCAGTTGATGGGGGGCGGGTCCTGTCACCATTAACTCGGTCCCTGTTTCTTCTATACAAATACAGTTAGACACTCAAGTTCACAARCTACCACATACTTTGGCTGTCTGATTACTTAGAATAACCAAATGAATCCTCTTAACATCATTTTAGAAAATTATTTTTAACAGGTAGAACAGTATGTGTACCTGTAACGCAATCATTTTTATTAAATACATCCTATTAAAGAGTGATTAATCAAGTAAAGATAGGGTGTGATAGAAAAAAATATATATTACTGAAAGGCAAAATGAAGAAAGAGCTACATTTCCATCAAAACCTGACATAATGATCCCCTGGCATAAGCAGACACAAATCCATTCACCCATGTAGAGCAAGAATTGTTGATGCCAGGAGTGGATTTGTGCCTGAAGCCGTGTTAACACAACAAACTGGCACCGAAATTTCCAAAATAAGCCAKCTTATAGCAGTGTGATTTCTCTTGCTTTTTTATTTAAAAAACAACAACAAAGTGCTTACCTTATAAAAATTCCACAGTGAAAGAAATGAACTAGAAAGATCCACTTCAGCTTTTCAGGATGAGGATTTTCAAAGTCATTTTTAAACCACTCATAACTAAATAGCTGAATTACTACTGATGAAAGACCTCTAAAACACAGTATCAATATACCCCAATAGTACTGTCCCTCACAGAAATATTTACTAGCTACCCAGAAGTCSACTCCAATGTCAACTACATGAATTATAATTCCACCAACTAAAAAGATAAAATCCTGCTTACAAAATTTCATCATGCATTAGATTGTCCCTAATCTCATTCTATCCTCATTTCACACAAAGGAAAGGCAGAATAAATCTAAATACTGTCCTGCAATATAATTTTTTTTCTAGTGACACCACCTCTTCACATTGCTTTATTCCAAGGAAAGCTGGAGTATGCATTTTTATTACRGCAAACAGAATCAGAAAAAAGGGACTTCAGTTTTCCTATGTTCTTGGTTTAAATACTGAACTGACTTAACTGGTATATCTATCTCAGAAAGCAGAAATGTAAGATGTCTTTTAAATTGGTGGAGTCATTCTTCCTAGTTGCTGCTGGCTCCTAATAAAAAAAAAAAAAAAAAAAAAAAAAAGACAAAAAAAAAAGGAAAAGGAAGATCATAAGTAACAGTAATTATTTTTTTGAAGTATCATACAGCAATTTAATTTGCATGATCACATAAACAAGGAAGTATAAAAGAATGTGGGAAATAGTGAGGATACCAGTGACCAGTCAATCCAGGGAAAAGCTGCATCTCTGAACCTGCAGGTCACTCCCTCCTAACCTCATCATGCTGAACCTTAGTAAGCAGCAGCTGAGATGATTAATCAAAATAATAGTTAATAAAAATCCTAAGAAATRAGCTTACCTACGAGCTTTTAAAAAMMCAGTTTATGGGCAAAGAAGATCAAGTCCTTCCTGGAGCTTTCTTAACTTCTGCGATACTCTTCCTCACTGTGCAAAGGTTGAGAAAACTGCCTTGAACACACATCATCATTGTAGAGTACACATCATTACACGGTTCCCGACTGTGTGGCTGGCTTTGTGTCCACACATCTGGTTTAATCTTTTCTGCTTGCTTGCTCATATGCAATGACTACAGTAATGAAGAGCACTATGGCTCTCCCCGTTATAGACACGGAACGAGCTCGGCCTACCTGGAAATGTCCCTCTAACTACATGAGGAGTAGCTACACACAGACACCTAACCACACTGTCCACTGCACATGGAATTCATTCATAGTCAGAACTATGTTTAGATTGCTAACACTGTAAAGAGCCCTGGGATCTATTTAGGTAGTCCTTACATTTCTTTGTATCTTTGATATCTTCCAGGGGAAGCAGAAAAGCTATAGGGAATTACACTCTSCTTCATTCAGTTCCAGCTCTGCTGCCCTATAAACATTAAAATTGCGCCATCCCTTTGCAGATCTTAGGAAAAGATCTCTGGCAGCAGCCCAGAATTATGGAATGTGAGGATATGCCAAAGCCCCAAATTCCTGCTGCCACCAGGCAGTAGTGGACGATGCCTCTGGAATATCTGTGGCCGGGAATGCCAGGCAGGGGGAAGGGCGGGTGGGGGCGGCTCGGTTTGGATTTTTGTGAATTTGGGCACGCAGCCACTGAGAGCTGACAGGAGACAATTGCTCCGTATCACATGAGCTCCCTGGAAGGTAACAACTATTCTTAGCTCGTGTTGACTGAGCTATTCTACACRGTGGCCCAGCTACAAATGCACAGAGAATCTAAGCTCTTAATTTCTAGTGAAGACAGTGGGGACCTAATAGCCTAAGTAGGAGCTGGGCATCTTCACATTATTTTTTTGGATCTAGGCCTCAGTTATTTCTAGCTTCTTGTTCTGTCTCCTACTTAGGTTTCATGTCCGGGCCCAGACGAGGTCAGCAAAATCTGGTGATCTCACGTCTGGGATAGCTGGAATCCTTTCACGGCCCTTTCCTACCGCCCTCAGAAAAACGCCACTATCTCTTTCAAATCACTAACACAATTCACATCCAGGGAAGTGGACTTTGTAATGCAGTCCAGCATAAACCGAACTTTGTGTTAACTAATGTTTCATTAACTGAAAGCTTGCCTAAGAACAAASTTCCAAGTATATTAGCAGGGTCCATTCAGGAGCATTCCAAAACACTGTATTTACTTAACATTTACTTAACACTTATTTACATAAGAACATGTTATTCTCCAACTTGATGTACCTACCACCTTGGTCAAGCTTTATCCTTTTATGAGCAGAAAATTAAGCCTATTTTTCAGAGCAGAGAATGAAAAATAACTAAATTCACTAACTGACCACTGCAGGAAACATAACAGCAAAAGGTAAGTGAATGACTGGATGCGTCAGTATACCAAGATTCACATTTAATGAGTATCACTGAATATTTAAGAGGCAGAGGGTAATGTCTAATTTTGTTCTTAAAGTGAATAATAGGATAATTTGACTTCTCTCTGTGCACAACCTTCCCATCATTTTTCTACCTAAGCACTTCACCGACAAGAAATAATTTATCTTTGAATAGGATTCCTTCCTGGCTTTGAAGCAAGGAAGTCCTACTGCCAAGGAAGCCCAGACTGCGCAGAGAAGTGAAATCTCCATTGAAGACTCCAGCCCTTAACAGCCACTGTATTTTATTGAGAATATAGAGCATGTTTAAATACACCAAGTGGGGCACAGTAAGTGCTACTGGGAGAGAATAGTTTGGATCACACAGAATTATCYGGTCCCTGGTCTTATAAAAAGTACAAGATTTAATACAATAGGAGCAAGAAGAGTAGAGTGCCTATCATAAATATGGTGTCATAAATATGTCTTCTCTAACCATTAAAATATTTTTACAGAGTCATTTTGCAATAAAGTAGAAAMAGGAAAATGTTATTAACTAAGCCTTCACTTCTTGCAGTACTTTTCAAATGCTATAAAATACAGACTTACCTTAATACCTGCCGGGGATAAAAACAGGTTTTTCATTTAAAAAATGTGTAGTTTTGTTTATTTGCCGGTTTCCCATWTATCGCTTTGTGAAACTTACAAAATAAGAAAAGTTCAAGGACTTACTGGCTGAACAAACTGAAACTGAAATCGTTTTGCTAACCACATGACGCAGTTAATAATTTACTGCTTGTCAAGAACTGTCATTCTTAAGAATGTTATAAAAAAAATCTATTCTAAAGACCTATCCTGTTTAGCAGTCTCTGCTTATGGTTACTTTATTATAAATAACTTCAATAAATTCTCATATTTCTCCATAAAGATTAACAAAAAAAAGTCCCCTACTTTTCCTCTGTAGCTGTGTATATCTATGTATGCATATTTGAACTTGCAATCTAATTTCTTAGCAAAAACCAAGAAATATTTATGAAAATATGCGTGTATTTATTTCTATATTTGTATATATGTGTGCATATCTATTTGTATGTTCATATATATGTTTGAAAGATTTCCGAACAACAATTTTTTGGCTGAAGTTGAAAAGGACACTAAAATGTACTTTAAAATAAATATATATATATATATATATATATAAAGGCTTTTCTATATGAAGATACAACATGCATCTAACATGCATACTTTAATAAACAAGTGATTAAAAGCGCTTTCCTGTGGTAAAACTGTAGGTGTTTGCAGGAGTCTGTTCCAGCAGGGCCATCAGCCCTCAACACACAACTTTTATGCTAGTGAACAGGAGCCAGGATTCAGCCCCTGCGGCTGCACTGCCCAGGACAGTGCATGCACTGGGGAGGTTAGTTTAGCTTTTCTACACTTACGACAGGAGATGGAATCACATGGGTGTTTCCACAGGATCCTGTCTTTTCTTGTGCTCTCTCTCCCCCTTAATAGGTCAGAAATATCTCAGGGCTAGGCTGGACTTGGAACACCTGCAATACCAGTATTCCCTGGTGTCCCCACTTAAATGAAAGGAGTCAACCAGTTGTGTCAGTTTTCCAAGGCTAGAAAAAGCAGTGAGTGAATCCAGCGCAGGACTCACGAGGTCCTGGTGAGGTGGCACCTGCTTATCCCTGCACAACACACTAGGAAAACACATTAGGACATCAGTGGCCAATGAAGGACTGTGAAGATGAAAAGATTCAGCYGAGGCTGCTGCCTCTTTCAAGCCCCTGAGATGCTGCAAAGGCACCAGGCCCAGGCCATGTGCACCCAGTGGACGTGCATGCCAGCAAGCTCTTGGTAGCACTGCTGGGTCTGATCAAGGCACTAATTTAAAATGTAGCTGTGTGTTATTGCTCCTCAACAAAATCCCGGTGGCTTCAGAGAAGCAGCAGCTCAGTGATTACACTGGTACCTGTAAAGACAACCACATTAATAAAAACACTCTGCTGGCGTACAGATTTTGTGAACAGTATGTCCCTCAACATTGGACAAAGTTATTTGAAGCAAATTAAAGGTCTGCTATCACCATAAGCCTACATAAATTTTACCAAGGAAGGTGAGAACGAATGCATCGTGCTCATCCTGTTTTGTGTTCCCCAGACTCTATGATCCACCTGCATAAAATTGACTGGAAGGCACCGGCCCACTGATCCCTCCTAACCTGCACTTCATTAGGAACACGATGGATTTAAAAGTGGCCAAGTTGAGCTGTGGACAAGACAACACTGCCACAAACTGACTGTGAACTAGATTACCTACATGTAGCAGCTTTCACCAACACTATTCCTCTCACCACGGATCTTGAGATTTAAAAAGTAGATGCTTCTCCAGAATTCTTTTTTTTTTTTTTTTTAATCCTGGAAAATCTCCAGTGGTCTTGGTCAATTATTAAAATCATTCCTTTACCCACTAAAGTATTGGGTAGTGTGGATGTGTGTTACTCCTGAATAACAAAAATATACATAATTTAGAAGCACAACAATAAGTATGTTATATGATGAGTTCGGTATATATTTTTAAATTCTTATAACTCCATCTCAGCTTTTAAAAATTACTAAATGAGGCTTTGCAAGCTATTTGTCCAAATAGTAACCAAACTCCTCTGGCTTTAAATGAAACCATCGTAGATCAGCTAAGGCACAAACTCCTGTAACTTTTGTTACTCCTCAAACACCACCAGCTCCACAGTGCAGAGAGAGAAGGTTTGTGTATCTGATTCTTGGACTGAAAACCAAGGAATTCATTAACCAAATTGCTGGCTGGCTGATTTATTTGTTTTCTAGATAGACTTAGCACTGAAGAAAAAAACACATCCTTAAACTGCGATAAAACTCTGGTGGTATTCRGTACATCTTGCTGTTCGCTTTCAAAGCGGGCATGAGGGAGGCTCTCTCTGCTTCATTAGTGTTAGCAGGACACTGGATCTGTCTTTGGAGTAGAGGACTTATTCCAGGCATGGAAGTTCCAGGAATTAAGGCCCGTGCTAGCACTAGCATAGAAATAAATTGAATGAAAGCACTGATCTGAACAACCCCAGGATTGCTGAAGGTATATTGTATAATTCTTCATGTTTGATACCCAGGCTTTGCAGTCAAAGAGTGAATATCAATGAATTAATACAAGTTACAGAATAAAATGCACAACTTGCCTGACTTTACCTCAGTGTAACAGCTTCCATTTCTCCTTCATGAGCCTCCARCATACTGGCACAAGCCGGATGCTACCACTGCTGCTACATGGTGTCCCAAACCCCCAGACTCCCACTCACATTCAGCGAGCCCGGAACCAGAGCCCACAGGGAATATTTATCCTCTGCACAGCATTAATATAGAGAGATTTTTATGAAAGTCTCCTAAAGACAGTTAATCATTAGTTTGTTACATCCTTTAGTATCCTCTCCACAAATTACTGTAAAGACGTGCTGTGTTACTGCGGTAGGATTCAGTGCTCCCCCCGTGAAACCTGCTCCTGTTCATTTTACTTTCAGGTCATTTTACTTATTATTGTACTAGAAATAAAAAAAAAAAAAAAAGTAAATAAAGGCACTGAAACAAAAATTCTGCAAGTAGCAAGAAATATGTGCATATCTTTAAAAAAAAAAGGTTTTATAGATAGTAAGATATCATAATATGTAATCTTACTATAAGTAGTAAGATTGCATATTAAAGTAACAGCATCAAAACCTACCAGACAAAAAAAGTTTCAATGATACTGTCTATGAAAATGATAAAAGTATCTAAAGAAACTTTCTAAGAAATATTCAGTGGAGTCTAATTATCACAAAATTACCTTTTTTGCACTTAGATAATAACAGGCTGTTATTCAGTCACAGTAGAAAGGCATTTACCCTCAACAWTTATGCCTATTAACTTCTGTCTTAAAAGAAAAATTACTTTTAAGCTGATGGGTTTATGCAGGAAATGAAGATGATTATCTTAGGGAAAGAAAGAACCTACAGTTATTTCTCCAAAGGCACCCACTGCTACCACCTACAGACGAAAGGGATTCACAACTCCTGCCTACTACATACATACATTACTGCAATAGTAGTAATAATCAATCTCTGAAAAACAAAGCTATAGTTCCCCCCGCCCCCAGAAATTTAAATTTYGATAAAACCAAACCTGTCATGCTAAAAATAACTGGCAATTTAAGTCTTGAGCTTTTAAAAGTACTTTAGAGTTATTAACGGCATTCAAGATCTTTGGGCAAATCGTGAGAGATTTTAGAAATCTTCTTTAAAATTACAGAATAATGATAAAAATGTAAGCCTCTGAAATACACAACTGGCCTTTTTTTTTTTTTTTTTTTTTAACTGCACGGCAGCAAAATTTTGCCAAGCAACTGAAAGTGGGTTGAATTTACCACCAAATAAGCTGGCACCTTATGCTGGCACGCATTCACCTGTGCATTACAAATACCAGCGTAACAGGGTAGAGTACCACCTTTTTGAGTAATTCCAGGTCTATTCACAGTTTCTTGAAAAAAAGGGTAGAAAGGAAAAAATATGGAAAGATGCAGAAAGACACTGGAATACTGCTAGCTGCTTACTCTAGCAGCATAGATCTGAACAAAATGCTGATTTCCTTTGACCTGAAATATCCTTTTCTGTTTATCTGTAGCCCCTGCTTTGACAAGTTTGGAAATAAATGTAACGTTTCGGCAGAAATAACAATTCAGATAAATAAAGGCAATTGACTTGAAGGCCTAAACATAGGGATGGCCTGTGCCTGTACTACAGCCCAGTTCTTGACTGCGTTTTCTCTGATGCTGGACAATTCACGCCTGCAGTCCACAGCCTGTGCCCACACACAGATATTGGCACTGCCGTGTCCCCAGGCCAGGCCTGCCTCTTGTGCACCACAGAGCAAACTCTTCAGCTGGGGGGTGACTCCAAGGCACTGGATGCTCCCCGCGCAGCCGCAGGGTTGGCGCTTCCCACGTGCTGACACACAGGTAAGTCGCGCTCGCACTCGGGTAAGCCAGCAGGGATGAGGCAGCCCGGAGGCAAAGCCGTGGGTCCCCGCATGGCTGAGATGCCGGCCCTGCTCTCYGGCCCACTGGGCAGCTGGAGGCACCGGCTCTTCCCTGTCCGTGGCGGGCAGTGACAGGCCTTGAACAGCGCGTTGATATGTTGACACCTGCAACGTGTGCTTGACATATTGGCACCTGCAACGTGTGTAGCATGGCCTGGCTGGTGGCAGGGCCACCTTCCAGGTCACCTCCCTCCCTGCTCCATCCTCCGCCTCTCCATGGATCTGCAAGCCGAGCAGGGCAGAAGATCTACGGGGGACTCTAGGCCAGTGAAGGTGGAAGAGCAAACAGGGAGTACGTGTCCAGCTGGCTTGTCCTGGCTGGGAACAYGACCGTCCCTAGCACACTTTAGCCTTTAACAGCTCATCCCCAGCAGGTTTCACCATTGCTCGCCCACATCAGAGTTCAACCACACCACAGGTTTTAATTTGCGAAGCTTTATTAAGCTCTATTGGAGCCCCGTAGTTCTGTGTTCGCCCCCACGCCTTGCCGAGCCGCTCGCTCCCAACAAGCCTTTAGGAAGCGCCTCTCGCGTCCTACGGGGGTGTTTGTGCCCCGCCGCGGGAAGCAGCCCTGCCTGCCCACGTAAACCCCACAAACGGCTCCGGCTTCCAAGACCCGCCGCCGCCCGCCCGGCCGCAGGCGGAGCCGCCGGCGCCGCGGGGGGGCCCACGCGCACGCGC